ATGCCTCATCAAACGCAACACTCTCTTTCCTCGTTGTCAGTCATCAGGACTGGATTGGAACCTCCGACTTGATGGTTGGGGGTTACAAACCCAAACCACAAATAGCCACATGTCCCCAAGTGGGACGTTGCCGTTGACATTGACCCAAACGTCAGCTTCAAAAAATGGGTTCAATAGGCGATAGGGTACCAAAGTGATTATGTCACATGCACAGTTATGTGTGTAAACGGCATTAGCGTGAGAACCAACGCATGCGCCAACACGCATGCACATTCCATTCATTTGTACTGCACTTTCTGGTTCAAAATGACGTCACGCTTTCCGTACTCTGTAGCCCTACTGATTCTTAGAATCTCTTGATCACATCAGATACAGATTTATTCACGAGTCAGCTGTAGTAAATCAAAAGTCAGGTAATCTTTCCATTTTAGGAACTCGAGTAGAAGTGAAAAAAAAAAGATATAAAATTTCATTGCAGTCGATGTGTGATTAAACTTATCTTAATGTTTGAAGTTGAAAGTGAGGCTTGAAGTGCAAAAAAGTCTGGCACCACCCCATTTAATAGATTACTTTAAATTTATAGATTCGGGGAACACAGTCAAAAATGGTGTCCCTTGAATGAGGTCTATTTTGTGAGACTTCTTCAATCCATCTGTCACCGTACGTACCGTTCTGTCACTGTAACCATGGTAACTGTCTAGATGCCCACCGTTCCTAATGGCTAGTTCACCACCTCTGACACAGTAGAAGCCCCTTTCTGTGCTGAAACGTGAAGCAGTTTTGCCTTACCACCAACCATCACACCGTATTCCAGGTGCCAGTCCTGTGAGAAAAAGGCGTTCTCGCTTTGCATGCACTTGGAAACTCTATTCTGGGGTTTTTTGGGGGGGGTTGAAAATGATGGTAGCTTCACACCTTCCATTGTCTTGTGAGCACACACATTTCAGAGAGGCTGCTGTTTGCTACCTAGAAGACAAAAAACATGAATCTTGAAAAGAAACGTTTCTATTAATATTAGGACGTACGGATGTATTTCTCTAACTATTGCTAGGATTGATGTTTATGGATGAATTGTCTTTCACCAATTTTTCAAAGTATTTTGAAGTTAGAAGTTTTATTGGTATTTTTATGGACACAGAATATGTTATTTAGCATGTCTGAATGAACATGTATAGTATGTGTAATAGGTGCATGTACACTTTCATCTTTTTAAACTGTTGGTAGATATGGCCGACAGCAGATTTCAACCGTCTTTGTCTTTTTTTATGGACTCATTTTTAGCACATGAGGCATTTTTACCAGATAGTATAGGGTAACGTCCTCATGTTGCAATGCTTACATGTACTTATATTTAACTGCAATTACCAATAAGCCTTTTGCGAGTTAAATTTGAAGAAAATCTGGTACACTTAGTTATCTAATTACACATAAACATAACAATTTCAATTTATTAAACTAAAGACACTGTTGCTATACCGTGTGATTTTGCAAAGCGACCACCATCTCTGGAATGGAGTGGTTCCTTTGTGCCTTTCTTATCCATTGAAAAGTGTATTGTTGCAAGCCATCTCTTATGTAACTAAGCAAAAGCTTGCCCCAAATCACAAGGCATAGCAACAGTGTCTTTAGTGTGGAGAATTCAAATTGGTATGTTTACGTGAATTTAAAGAACTCAGTGTACCAGATTTTAATCAAATTTAACTTGCAAAAGGTTTATTTCCAGTGATTTTCCAGTGAGGAAAACTGGGAAATTTCACAGCTTTGCCAAATTTGTGCATCATTACAATGGTAACATAAATAGTTTCAGGCCATTCCTTGAAGGTTTTTTCTCTGGACGAAGAGTGAAAGTCACTTTTTAGAGGTTTGCAATAATCAGGTTTTGTAATTCTTACGCTGTACCAACAGCTCAGAAGGGACCAGGGAGAGAGAACAGAAAAGACCAGGGATTGAGAGAACCGACAGATTGGTAGATTTATATCATCATTGTTTATTCTGTTGACAAAAGACAGTGTTGTTATACCCGTCACAAGTACATGTACATCACAAGCCACTGAGTGTTGAGCCAAATCACAAACCATTCAATGGAACAGCGACACAAGCATTCCTTTGTCACCGTTTTGTACCCAAGCACCTCGGACTTGTCTTGCAAAAGTGCTTATAACTGGACTTGTGAAGGACTCTTCACTAATACATGTAGCCACCAATTACATTGGGAAAGTACTTGAAGTATATGTTCTGAGCAGAACAAAAGAGGGCGTGGTTTCTTTTGGTACTCACTGCATAGGCGCACCATGAGGCACACAAGTATATGAGCGTTTTGACGCGGAGCACGCTGAGTAGGCATAACTCATTTATACCAGCTTTTATGGTCTTTGAGAACATGCAAAACGTGTGCAAGAACCCGCTTGTAACCACCCGTCTTTCTTTTTGCCGATTGGGTGTGCACTTCAGCTTGGGGCGGATAATCTGGATTAGAAAGATTAGAGTCAATTCTCCCCAATCTTTCAAAGTCCACCAGGTTTTGGAGGATTTAAGAGATAACTGAGGAGAGTTAAGAAAAACTATTTCTTTTAAGCTACATATGCCACTGAGTTCCTTCAACTGTGGGTGGGTGTTAGAGGATTAAGGGAGGTCCCAGGGGTGTTGGGTGGTCAAAGGAGTCTGAACTTTTAAGAAAGGAATTTATCATTTGTAATGATAAATTTGGGTATTTCTATAAATTTGGGGTCCAGTGTGTGACATTTGCCTGTCCTTGTTGCACCTGACCTGTGTAATTTGACGGGATGTATCATTGAAATTGACTTCAAATTATTTTTGTTTCGAAGGTAATTTGCATTGCGTGTACTTAGCCATTCTCAGAAATCAAAGAATGTGTTCTAAACTCACAAAATTAGAAGCCAGATGGAACAGGGATGGGAAAAATGGACCCACAAGTCATAGGATGGCCCATTTGCATATAGTGTGTAAAACAGGTGGAATTGGGTACCTGCAACATGGGAAAAAAAACCAATTATGCAAGGTGCTTGTTACAGACTGGGAGATTTTGGGATGAAGGATTCACAGTTGCACTAATCTGTAATACATTGATGAGGTAAAATGTTGTACATTGCCTCTCTTTTTTTGGTTTTTAACTTGACTATCTATATTCCTCCCTCCTCTGCGACTGTTTTTCAAGTGAACTGATTCACATTTCCTGACTTTGATCAGCAGTGTTGAAACTGGTCAGACTTCAACAAAGCTCAGACAAAGTTCAAACTAGATTTTGGTGCACCTAAAAAGCACATGTAATCTGTATTAGGCATTTTTTTCCAAAGAGTTGTGTGCGATGCTGTAGAGTTTGGTGCAGTGTGAGCGGTTTCCAAATACTAAAGGTCATGTTACGTTGAAATGGAGTCGCGTATTTGGAATTCCTGTGAATTGTAGATTTTATTCAAAATTGAAACAATGAAATTTCACATGTATCTTCTTTGCATTTTTAAAAATTAGTATCTGAAACTCCTTATATGCATATCATGTTTTGAAAAATTTTAAATTCCTTGACTTCAATTGTTACGAATCTCAAAACAAGAAGCAAGGATACTTAAAAGTACAAGTGACTTGTACCTGAGTAATCCCTTCAGAAACAGCCACAGCTTCAGACATGTTAAGATTAAACTGTGTGCATGTATGCATTCACAATGCAATTAGACATACATAAATCAGTCTTTTAGTAATTGATTGCAAGACGTTTCTCATTATTTCACAGTCTCAACAAAAGAATTATTTACTTACACCTGAAAATGATGATTGCATCTTTTCTTTCAAAATTTATGGGACGCTTGGTCCAATAGGTTGCACTGGCAGGAAGGTGGTCTTTGAGGACAATCGTCACAGGCTCTGCAAAACTGCGTCACACGTCTCCAGAGCCACTTTTGAGTTCAAGGCCTCTGAAAGAATCTTGCACGCCATTCAAGCAACAGGAATCCTCAACATTTTAACATCTAAACAGCGTTCATTTTCGTCAGACCAAGCTGAATGTAAACATCAAAACAACGTGCTCCGTTTAGGGTTTCCTTTATAATCTAATACAAAGTAAAACTCAAAAGTGGCCCCGGTGACTTGAGACTCGTTTTCACAGAGCAGGTCACAATTATGACCTTAGAAACCCGTTCAGGAGCTAACAAGGGCATTCCTCACAGCATGGCATGTTCCGCTTCCCCTCCAGGCAAAAGCTGGCCACATTCCCAATGCGGCGAGGGGGTTGCAGCAAATTCAAATGGAACGCTGTCCACAGACAAAACAAACATCGTTGAAATTTTGCCGGCAGTGAGTGAGGAAACTCTGGTTGACTTTGTAGAACACTGCTTCTGAACGATGGGCCCCACTCGACCTAAAATGCTTGACTGCTTCTCATTCTGTGACGTTAATCTGCGGCTCACGTTGATAGGATATGACACTACAGGATTGATACCGAACACAAGTTTCCACACACAAGTGCACCAGGCAAAAGCTTCTAGCGGGAATTTCATGTCTCCTAATTTTAATATGAAGTTGTGATATTCAAAGCTTCTGTCAATTCCATGACACTGCTTCTGCCTGGGTTGTTCTTGCACAATTCCCAAGAATGCACGATACAAAAATCTACGAGTTAAAAAGGTCAGTCTTGTTTAGGTTTCATCTTTGTCTTCATCCACCTCAAGGCCTTGACAAATGAACTCAGGACTGGAATGCCGACGGGTAGAAACAGAGGTATGTAGATGGCAAATCTGTTCAAGGAAAACCAAAATAAAACATGTTCTTATCAGTTACAATTAATTTGGAAAACTCCACTTCAAGTCCGCTTGATGAAAAGTTTGGTATTGGATTTTGCCTGTGAACATTTGACAATCGCTGTGTATATTGGTGCTGTCCGATATCTTGTGAGACAAAAATTGACATGCTTAAGGGGGGGGAAGCAATATTCAAATCGAAATCGAAACCTGTGATAAGTCCTACAGGTCAGCTGTACATGCTTGTAACCAATACGCACTCCTCTTCCATGCTATACTCCGTCGTGTAAACCAGTTGCCCATCTGATGCATAATTATGGCTGTAGTTTGTCCGAACATTGGGCACGTCTAACGGAACATTCCGGTTTTTTTATAACTTACTTCTGATCATCTGGGAAGTAGAGAAGTTCCAGGAGTGAGGGGTCAAAGAAGGCCTTCTCTGAGGCAGCGATGGCCCTCTTGCTGTCGTGGAAAGCCCTGTATAGGTTGCCTCGCTGGAGGTAGGTGTGGCCCTGCTTAATGGCTGATACCGCCTGATACACCTGAAGACAGAAGGAAGATTCCCCGAAGAAGTTAATAAGTCTATCTGTATGTTGGAGTCTCAGCCTTAGTCCATGGGTGTGATGCCATTAGTTCACAGCTTACCAAGTAAATTGAAATGGTTGTTTAGACATGATGAGACACACATTTAAGCTCGAGATTTTTAAGATTTGCAATAAAAGTACCATTAACTTCTAATAGCACTAAATTACTACATTTAGATTACAGCGACTGAATGGAATATTCTGCACTGAAGATCATAAATGTAATGTACAAGTGACATAGCAACCTCCTATTGGCGGCATAAATAAGGGAATGAATAGGTGTTTAAGACCAGCTCAGGAGAATGGACTAATGCCCAAGCAGCAGGCAAAGTCATTATCAGTGTTCGTTCTTGGCCAAGTACATATTTATTCTCATTCACAAATACCTTTTTATTCAGAGAGTCAAAAGAAGTCAACATATGATGGACTTCCAACGAAATTGTTCGAAAACCTTACTTTAATTTCTTGAACATCCCCGTCCATTTTATGGTATATTCGTTTTGTAAGTTATCCAATAGAATCCCCTTCCATGAACTTGACGCGCACGTGGCGTGTCACGTGCACACAGACTCCTCACCAATCAGACCCGAATAAACTGTTTCATAATCCATGTGCTGGCGCGTGATTTATGCAGCGGGCATTATCACTTCTCAGCGGGCATTATCAGATGTTAATACACAGTCACATGACGCGTTTCAACCAATAGGAATAGAAAAATTGTCCCAGTTATTTATGAATGCAGTATAACATGCAGGCAATCGTATACATTGAACACACCAAACCGTTACTTTTTTCGGGCCTCAACAAAATCAATATCTAGGTTATGTTGTACTTGGAACTGAAGAGACACAATTTTGGCTGCAAAGTAACTACCACAGAGTTACTCCATGGTTTTGAATCTTAAATCTTCATAACATTTGTAAAATTATCACTGAAACCAAACGTCTGTACAATAAGCCATTTGTGAGTTAAATTTGAATAAAATCTGGTACACTGAGTTCTTTAAATTCATGTGAACATAACAACTTGACTTCTCCACACTAAAACCACTGTTGCTATACCTTGTGATTCGGGGCAAGCTTTTGCTTAGTTACATAAGAGACGCCTTGCAACAATACATTGTTCTCAATGGATAAAAACGGCACAAAGGAACCAGTCCATTCCAGAGTTGGTGGTCGGTATGCGAAAGCTTGCCCCGAATCACGAGGTATAGCAACAGTGTCTTTAGTCTGGGGAATTCAAATTGTTAGGTTTCTGTGCAATCAGATAACACGGTGTACCAGATTTTATTCAAATTTAACTCGCAAAGGGTTTATTGTGCTGTACCTGATTGGCTATGTCGTCTCGTATGACAATATTCCCAATTTGGTTCAACAGCTGAGCCAAAGACACCAGGGTGGAGCTGGCTGTGGCCAGGTTCTCAAGTGTTCGGACTCTCAACAGCACATCATACTCCTACACAAGAGGTGGGAACCAGACTTTAGACATCCCAAGGCAATAGTTCATTTTATAGCTCCTCTCCCGTTAACAAAGAAAGTAGTGTGTGCACGTGTATAACATCAACAGATTTGTCTCCCAGAAGTCAAAAATTGACCGTTACATTTTTCCGGGCCACGAATCATGTTTTGTGCACATGTTCCTGTAATGTGTTTTCCTAATACAGAACCTTACCTGCATAACCACTCTACCCCAAATTTCAAAAGTGTAATTTTAACAAACTGAAAAACATTTCTCTCTGCAAATCTTCAATTGACTGACGTTTTATAAAGACATAAGTAAAACAATATTTCAAAATGACTTCCACAGTTTAATTATATAATTTTCAGAAGAACAGAAGGCACAGTTGCCAAAAACAAGGATACAGATTGATATTTTGATGTCAAGGAGTGAAAAAAGACCTCTGGCTGAAGCTGGACTTACCCAATCGGTAATGCCAGTCTTATCAGGTGCCGCCAAAATGACGTTGTCCTGGATAGCCTATAAACAAAGGAGAATTCCATTCAAATTGTTCAGGCATACTCAGGGATAACACAGGTCTTGTGCAACAGTTATTGTGGGGGCCAAAAATTCTTGTGGAACGCACCAACGTCGCCACAAACTGATCAAAAAATTTCCTGGCAAAAGAAAACTTGCCAGTGCACAGCGCACGGTGAAGCAAAGTTACAAATATTAAAAAGTACAGACTGCTTTACCAACAAAATCATTTCAACCAATGGCTTGCTTCGACTTGAAATACTTGTAGCCAAAGACTGGGTTGTGGTAAATGTTACTAGAAAAAAGTAATTGGACGAACAAACTGGCAGGATATATAATATGTGCTGCCCTGAAGCCCCAGCAAAAGGCCCAAGATATCTAGATTATGGGACCCAGAGATGTGTGGCCCAACTTGGGGTGTAAGATCTCCAGGAAATGTAAATCGTTGGGATAACCAGGAATGTCAAGAAATTCACAAAGTATTTTCTGTGCTGAGTGCATTTCTGTGCTGGGCAGAACTCGATCCTGATTCACAGCTTTGAAAGGGGTCAGTGACCAACCTGTTGTGGGATTCCGATAAGCAGTCTTAGCTGGGCCAGGAACACCTCCATGGCCCGTCGGGTGTCAATCTTGACGGCTAACGGCAAGGAGTCGTTCTCGCTGGGTTTGGGCACGTTGTGGATCATGACGCCGCCCCAGCGTGGGCTCAGGAAAGCATTGGTGTCCACCGGTTGTCCTAAGGAAAAAAGAAAATAAAATGGAAGGAGAGATTTTAGGAGTTCTGAGGGCAGCTCAACGCAAAAAAATGTGGCCTGGAACATTTCAAAACTTACAATTTAGTATCGCGATCACAAGCGTGACGTTGTTGTAGCTTAAAACCGTGCCCGCTTTATGGAGTGTGGCGATGGAATGTTGGCACTGGAAACACAGCGAAGTTGGCTTATTGGCACTTTGTAGAAAGTGCACACGTATGATCAAGGGTGAGATTAGCAGAAAATAAAATCATCAGAAGTTTTGGGGGCCCCTAAAGTAGCGTAGGGTTTATGGTATACAAAACTACCCATTTCTTGTTTATAAGTAAAAACATCACAACTTCAAAGAAGTTAAAAAACAGTCTAAAAATCATGAAACCAAGAAAATCCTGATAAAAAATCGTGACAAATCTTAATCCTTGTTTGATGCACGACCAAACCAGACACCGAACTCACAGAGGGTATCACTCCGATTGAATATATTGTCTTGCAGAGTACAAATTCTTAAATCAGAGTATTTTGGACATGCTTTGATTCATATGCCAACTGTACTTCCATTTTTTTTTTCACTTCATAAAAATTGAAGGTACCATTATCTTCATACTTTTGTGAATATACGATTGGTTTGAAGCCCCCCCAAAATCCAGTCTTAATATGCTCTGTGATCAACATACCTTTGTTGTCAGTTATGAAGAGAGGTAAATGCCGCGATCGAGGGACGAAGAGAAGAAAGTTCAAACTTGGATTGGTTGAAACGTGGGACCCTGAAAAAAAGGCAGCAAAAACAATGATTACTATTCAAATTCGTATTCAAATTCATCTAAACCGCAGGGTTCTTTCTCAAATTTCTCGATACAATGTATTTTAAATTTCGCAGGCTGACCAAGTTTTGCTTCGACTGGGTTGATGATGAGTGGCAATGCATTCTGGGATAGACGGTAGCTGTCATCTTCCTCGTTGTGCTTGGGCTTGATGGAGAGACCGGTGAAGTGGAGCACCTGGGAGTTGACGGTGAACTCGGCAAATTCAGAGAGCTTCTGCAGGAAGGGGTTCAAGTAGGCTGCAGATTGGAGAAAGAAACGATACCAACATGTTAAGACCAGACGCTGGGAGGTTGTACACTTTTGCAACTCAACTGTGAAATGATTCAAGCTATGTGTCAGAGTGCAACAACTTCTCAAATTCAGAAACCAGTCCAAATATACATGTTTGATTCCTTAACCCCTTCGCTACGGAGGACTGCTACTACTGCACCTTTGTGTGAGGATTAGTGCATACCACACATACAGTCTATTCACCATGCAGCTGCTGGTTCAATGGGGCCTGCTGCTGGACAAAGCCCTCCATTCAGGGCATACCACAGCCCAGCAGACACGGTCAAATAATTTTGCCATGAAGGGGTTAAGTGTTCTTGTTAGGAAATTTGAAAAAAATAAAGGTTACCTTTTCTCAACATTCATAACTCTAAAACCCTTCATACTTCTTCAAAAATCAATCTGAAAGTTTGGGGGATCTTACAAGACTACATTTTCATCAATCATCACTCAATCCATTATCTCCTCTAATATAGGCAGATCTGGTAACCATACCAATGCTATCACTGATCATTTCCATTAGGCCCTACTGATGGTGGTACATGCTGTGATAACTACCATATAGCACCACTGTTCTGTGACAGTTGCTCTGTACAAAACTCAACTCCACGCTTTCAACCATTAACGGGGGCCACTGGAAATGTCCCCTGAAACCTTGCTGGATTGTCTATGTGTAAATGTAACCTCAACATTTCAAAATAGACATTTTCAATTCTGAATAGACGACAATGAGATCTGTTTTGTTCTGCCGGCGAGAGTTGACATAAGGCAATCAGGAAACAGGACTGTGTAAGGACATGTCCGTTCTTCTCAATTCAAGCCAAGGTTTGACGTTGAGACCCACCTTGGACCGCTTCTTGAATGTTCCACTGAGCATTGAATGTGGCTGGCTGAGGGTTGAGCAGACTGAAGGACAACTCGTAGCC